TTCGATAGCTCCACCCACCCACATCCCACGTGGGACGGAATTACCTAAAAGGTGAGCGTATAGCTTGTCCTCAAGGGTGCAGCCAACGCTAATCTTATAGGCGGACTTCGGGCCCCTAGTCGAGGACAAGCGACAGGTTTGGCCTTGCCCATATACTCAGCATGGACTGCGTCTTCAGAAAGCTCGCATAGGGCTATGAAGCATGAAGCACTTGGTAGATGTCGTGGCCACTACGGAACGCCTTGGCCCCGATGGTGGGTCCCTGTTTTCGTATTCGAGCCTTTCACACTTATGCCGGAGCAGTCACTTATTTAACAAAATGGAATAAGTTCATACATGTTACCTTTGAGGGGGAATTTATTGCGGTTCGACCGCAGATGAAGCAAAGCGAGTACAAAATGAAATAATGTTTTCCAAAAAAGCAGCAGATTCTGCTATCATTTATCACTTAGACATTTGTTCTGGGGGAGAGGGAGGGGTCTGTTTATCTCACCACTGCCTTCTTATCTGTTTACTAGTCATTAGAATGCTGAATCGAGGGAACTGTTATCCGAACCTCGCAAGCACGCTGTGAGCAGTCAATTTGTGAAATTTTGGGTCTGTTTAGACTTTTTCCAGGGTCGAGCAAAAGTACAAGAGCATCAGTAGTCCCAAAGGCATTTTTGAATAAATTTCAAAAATTAGTTCCAACTGCGACTATTAGTTATGACAGCCATAACAATCTTATGCTTAGAAGTATCACTAGCTTCCGAAATGATGGTTTTGAACGTTTACTCAGTTCCCAAAAAGTTTGACGAAGGCTTCACTCGACGGTAGCGTGCACCAGCCAAACAGGTCTTGTTCGCTGCTGGTGGGGTATTTCAGAAGGCTGGCATTGGCGGGGTTTTCGACATTCGTGAGGAGAATGTCTTGTCTTCGGGAACATATGGGCATGACGAATTCGATAAATTCAAGCACAGTCAAGCTCGCTTTTCATTTCCCTGATTCATTTCTTCTTGAGCGGCCACTGGCCTAAAATTACATAAACATCGGAACGCTATTCTGTAATATTGAAATTGTAACTACATAAGCAGCCAGCTGCTTGCACAGCTTCATTCTACATTCGTTTTAGATGGTCTTTCCGCTCAATACGTTACTTCTGCCCACACTGTTCTCTGTTTCAAAAAATACTTGCTTGAATTACTCCACTTTGAGCTGAGGGCATCATGGATGAACGATTCTCAGATTTTCAAAACGGAAGAAAACTGCTTCCAGATGTACTGGCTGATTTTCTTTCTTCTTCCTTATGCGGAACTCCCAGGAAAAATCACTGAAGAAGAGAATGAAAGGTTGAAAGCGAACTGTGGCGCCCATTATCTTGGAGAGTCGGGTAAGCGTCAGTTCTGCTAATTGAGAGGGATAGAACTTACTCTTTCGAGAGCACTCCAGATTACCCAACGGTGGTAAAAGGAGGGTGTTGCATTTTTTGGTCCGAAATACTACTAACCATAGTACTGACATCAGTATCAAAAGCTCAATGCCAAGGATGCGTCACTTCGCAGCACCGTAATATCACAATGCTTTCTGAAACGTGGTTATTGCGTGAATGATGACCAGGGTGCACGGAAAGGCTATGTCCTGTTGGTGGTTTTAGATGACCCCCGCCCCCTTCTTGCATCGCTGGACTAGTGTAGGCATCTCTGAATTGGTCCCAGCCGGCATCACTACCCTTTACTGCCCCAGTCATCGAGCCAATTTTTTCTCGACGGGCTTGGCTAGTATGCTGTCTCCTGGAGTAGTTTGACCTCCTGGATGCAAATATCACATCCGCTGACCTGGAACCTCCTGGCGCCCACGCCACAGGCTCCGGTGACTCAAGGTATTTTGGCGCTGGTTTCCTAATTCCGCGATACTAAGAGATTCCGTCCGAGCGACATGCTATTCGTGTTTAGGAGATCACACTACCCCTGGAAACAGTTTTCCAGCAGATTTGGTGATTAGGATATTTTAGCGCCGTCGCCTGGATGCTTCGAGCCGAGCGGATGTGATAATCATGTTCAAGAGGTCGAACTACCCCAGGACACAAATTTTTGGAAAGTTCTGCTAATGGAAAGAAAAGTCTATCAGAAATTGGCAAAATTTGGGGTGACGGCAGCAAAGGGTACATAGTGCCGTGCAGCCGACCAACCATCCTACCGAACTTTCATTTATCGCTAAAATCCAAGGGTAATCCTCCAACCAGTTATCGGGATATTGCCATACTGCAGCGCCGTCGAATAGGGAGCGGGTTTTACCTTAAGCGTAAATTCCAGGCCTAATATCCGCCTTCGTTCCAGCGACCGAATGCGCCGGTCGACAATGTAAACGACCATCATATCATCACTTGTTCACCCTTTAAGAGCAATGGTTTATAACACATGCTATGCTTTGCGCTCATAGTACGAGCCTGTGAGAGAAACAGAAAATGATAGCTGAAGTGCGAAAGGTGGTACAAAGTGAACTAGGCACGAGTTAGGTCTGAAACATACGAGAGATCCACGCCACATCAGAAGTCTCCATAAGAGCCTTGGTGAGTGTGGCACCGTGGATGTTGCTTTTCGCTGCGTGAAATTGATGCTGTGATTTTTTATTTTCAAGGAACGGTGGAGAAATCGATGCCTGGTCATGAAGTACCGGTGAATAAGTACCCATGGATAACATCACTTGTTATTAGAGCTGGTAAGACTGGTAAGTAAAACTGGTAAGTTTATGCTTACACGTTGGCATTGAAGAAGAACTGAGGGATTGAGAATTAAATGAAACTCGAAAAAGAATGAATCACTAATGAACCCTATGGTCAAAGAAGTCCCCACGCTTGAGCAGCTGCAGGCGTCCTTCCTTGTACAGGTAGCTTGGTCCCTAGCCTGATACTGTTCCACTTCCGCTGCTTCATAGTGTGTAATGAAGGAGCTACGGCCTCCACAAGTGGCAGATCTGGCGCGTCCCCGGCTTACCCGCCCGCCCACCAATAAATTCAAAGGCTATTTTCTGTCACAAATTTGCTTTTTATATGTGTTTTTCGCTTTTTTGCTCTCAGTTGAGCGCTATTAGCATTGATTGACGCGAGGAAACGATTTGTAGGCCGCTTTGGTTCGATAACTGCTGTTCAAGGCCGCAGTGCGCGCTTCAAAAGTTATCACAAGAATGCTGAGATATTGGCAAAACATTAAGATAACTGCTTTTTGTGAGCCAGAGTCGGCAGCAGGGAAAATCATCGTTGCGGATTTCCCAACAGGGCCGGGGGGGGGTCGTGTTCAGTCGCTGGAGGGAGGGGAGGTCGAAGTTGGTCTGAGAAATTTTTTTTGATAGTTGGTTTCTTGTTTCACTGACGCTATAACGGAGGGAAGGGAAGGTTCGTTTCACTCGATGTTGAGAAAGGAATGAAGTCGTGTATGCTTTCCAGGAAGAAATTGCGACGTCAGGAAAAGTTTTTCCCGGTTGTTGGTTTTTCGCGGTTTTCCTGTTTCACTGTTTCGCATGTGCTATGAACCAACTTCCGTCCCCGCTCGGCAGTTCGATCGTGTCAGAGGAAGAAACTGAGGGGGGGGGGTCGTGAGGACTCGACCAAAACTCCAACTGATGCCCTGTATCGCATTGCTGGCATAAAACGAGCAGGTCCGGTCAACTCGCACAGTGAGTCTGCCAGGAGGTCCTTCTTTATGCTTTTCTTTCTCCCTGCTTTTTTTTGCACCGGAGAGTTTGAACGCCATTACCCACAATATTCAGCGTTATCGGCAAGATGTCTATAGAAAACTCGTCCGAAATTGTCATTAAGGACGAAGGTTTTTCTTCGCAGGTTTTTGACCGTTTCACTTCGTTTTTTCGCCATTTTCCCCACTATATGGCGCCCTGCTAGCATTTTAGGCCAATTAACAAAATATCGTGCCAACTGCCTTTAAGCGCTGGGAAAAGGCGTTTGCCCCCCCCCCTCCCACTCAGCCATTACACCAATGACGTTGGCAGCAACCGCCCTCCCTTGTCATCGTGTCCGGCGGCTTATTGCGTCACTAACTTTCAGCACTTGTGTATACTTGTGTCTTCAGAGGGTTACTGTACTGGCTGTGCAAATCTCCAGTCGACATATTTTGACGGCTGCTCATTGCGTTGTGGACAAAAACCAGCGGAGGAATATGAGAAAATATGCAATGAAGTTGATAGGTTGATACATTTTCCATTCATTAGAATATATATATTACTATGTTTAATCAGTATCCACGACTTAATCATGCACAGGTTGCTGAAAGAGGGACACCATCTGACTAATTGGGCTTCCTTGGAAGAACTGGCTCGTCAGGCCTACGATAAGGTTGTCTCTCCAGAACGACTCACCTTCCGCGCCAGTAGCTCTTGTAAGCATCTGCAGCAGTGCAATTATGATAATATCAAATTCACTACTTACAAAACCTGTGAGTAAGAATAAAGATGAACAAACAATCAAAATTCATATACTTTGTTCAGCCTCATATTCACGAAAAATACACTCCTTGCGTAAATCAAAACGACTTGGCAATCATTGAACTTCGATAGAAACATTCCCTCCGATGTTGGCACACCGATCTGCATGATAAGAAGAGGATGATCATCTATCGCGGAAATTGACTGCAATTGGTTACGGAAGAGACCGTGAGTTCAGAATGCATAAAAATCTTCTTATAGTAAAACATTGCGCTGAATAATTGTTCTGAAGGACGCGCCGATATTTTCACGTTCCACGACCAGCCAAGAAAAGTACTCTTCCCGACGAGCAAGTAGCCTGGTTCGCAGTGGTGGTGGTTGCTTCATTTGCCCCCTCCCCCTTCGCCCCATATAAAGTGACGACTGGACGGCCATGCCTCTTCCCTCTCATTGGACCGACCCACCTCCACCAGCCCCTTTCACCGCTATACTCGGCCATAATGACAGGAGACCCGGAAAAGGACTTATCAGGGGCAATGAAGTGAATAGAAGTAGTGCAGAATAGGAATGGGATCAGTTACTGCGGCCGTATCGAGCACAGCTCCTTCGTCCACTGATCGAGTCCAAACAGGTCTTCGTTCACCAGGGAAGTCCGCCAATTTACCATGGAAGTTTGACTGGAGAGCTGGGTAAATCGATAAATTCTATAAGGTTATTTACAAATATAGATAGCAAAACTGCAACTGGGCGCAGTTTGTCGACGAGGGGGCATTTGCTTTCCATAGATGTGTCGACCCATCTAGGCAGCCGTTTCTCGAGTTGACACGTTTTAGGATAGTGGCTAGACGATCTTACTTCAGCTTCACAAGAGTTCACAAGTTTTACCAGAGTGAGATTTGTAAACCGGAACTAGGGAAGCAATGATAATTCAAAATGCCCCCCGCCAAACAGCGCCCTGCAATTGCATTTCACAAGCAACTTATGAGCAGGTAAAGTTTGTAATGGTGCAGTAGGGTGGAGGCTTGGTGGTGAGCTGTGAAGCATAAGCGAGGAATCGCATACGTCGAATCGACGTCGAGCGTCGAATCTTACCACTGTGCCACGATTCCTCACTTATGCTTCACAGCTCACCACGAAGCCTCCACTGCGTCATTACGTTCATAAGTTGCTTGTGAAATGCAGGTTGCAGTTTTGCTATCTATATTTGTAAATAACCTTATAGACTCTATCGATCTACCCAGGTCTCCATTCAAAGTTCCATGGTAAGTTGGCGGACTTCCCTGGTCAACTGCCATGTCGTCAGCAGTAATGTACGCTGCCCAGAATAAGCAGTACAATCTCGACCCGATTAAATAACCATGCTCTCGTCTTCTTCCCGTGACCTCCTCTGCTTGTTTGCTGTTTTAGTGTATATCCTCCCGACAGGCTCGGGTGAATTTTCTACGAATGAGATCTCTTTCTCATCATAATGTTTAGTTGTATTCCTACGTCTACGCTTTAGCAGTCTCCTACAACAACATGGGCGATCCGGATGTGCTGGAGGAAATCCACATTGACTCTAGAAACGTGAAGCAATTCAATCCCGAGCTTGTAGCAACCTTGTTCGGAAAGTCTATGTGTCCGGTTTGTTAGCAATCAGAGACAAGTTGACTTTGAAAGGGAACGTTCAGAAAGATTCGTGTTTCTTTTCTTACGGATAAGTCTGTTGCCATCATATCACCGAAAACTGAGCAGTGTTACAGAAAATATATTTCCTGTAGTCAGATTTGCAGGGCGACAGTGGCGGGCCCTTGGTTCAGATTAATCGCGAAAACAGATTCTCTGTTGTCGGAGTAATGAGCGGGATATGGACGAACTGCAGTGTATCACTTACCGAGCAACATAGTAAATTCTCAATACTTCTCCTGACTTTCTTCACGTAATTGAAACAAATCTTGGAACAATTCAGAAAGGCATAATTTCTTCGTTGATGTGAGAAGATACGTTGATTGGATTTGCACCAACACAGGTAAGATAGCCAAACTCGTGGATTATCTAGTTCTCCCAAATTGAAGCACTTTGTTATGTTGATATCGTTGCAAGTCGGGGCCATGTGAGGAGCTGTAGGCCTTGGCTGCTTCCTCATAAAAAAATGTATCCTTCAGCGGTTCATCAGGGAGAAAGCAACTAGCCAGTGGTTAGATTCACTTATGTTAGTGCCATACAGTCCTCATCATTGCGGACCGGTGGGGCGTGCCAGCCAGAAGGAGTGCGCACACTGTTGAAGCCGTTCTCAGCCTTTTTTGTTGCAACGCGTATGCGACAAAAAGTGGTAGAAAACGAGTAATACGAAGGATATATACAGTAATGCACTTGTTCGCTTCAAAAACTGGTGCAGAACGACTTTGCCAAACCGCACCAAATGCAGCCGCACTGCCACGCCCCACCGGTCGCAATGATGAGGACTGTAGATGCTGCCCCAACTCTTTGCCAGGGCACATCGTTGTTGGGGAGTCCTCCAATAGGGGGAGGGGTCGTACTAGGCCGCCAGGAGAGGGAGGGTCGTATTTGGGCAAGGAAAAAATTATTTTGATAGTTAATTTTTCTCGCTCACGACATTATAAAGAGGGGAGTCGTACTTGGTCATTGTTGGGAGGGGAGGGGTCGTACTAACGTTTTGGTGTTGTAGAAGTGGTTTTCCTGTTTCATGTGTACTATAGCCCCCCCCCATTCCTTCCCCCCCCCCCTCTCGACGCGCTCGATTCGATGAGGAGCGAACGTGCGCTGGAGGGAGCCGGGGGGAGGGGGTCGTACCAACCCCCAAAAACCAAAGGGGGGTCGTACAGACTCGACTAAAATCCCCAACCAATGATGTGCCCTGCTGTTTGCGATGATATCAACCGTAAAAACCTACACATTCCCCTGCCTAATGAACCCTCTTGTTTTCACAAAAACACAATTCCCCCCCCCCCCCTCCTCACCCTCCCCACCCCCCTTCATGTCGGCCCTTGTCTTATACCCTTTAGAGCATACCGTGCATGGAATGGGGTTTATTGAGAGATCCGGACAACAATCCTTTGTTTTGACAAAAAATTTTCCAGACTAGTACATACAGCCTTATCCCTGCAAACGACAGGACGCAAGATCAGAGCGCGGCCTGGAGCGTATCCAGGGCTGTTTTTCCACCAGTTACGGCGATCTCAGCATCTCTTGGCTGCGTTCGCTGTAATTGGTGCTACAATACACGCGGCGTCACATGCCTATCATTTGCAGGAATCATCACTGTATGAAGCGTATGGAATGAGCAATGCGAGGCTAACTAATCACCACCAATCCTCCAACATACTCTGATGCGCTGGTGTGCCTCCTCAACTCGCGCCATATTGGAACGATGTCGGCACTATCATGCTGTTCATAGCCAAACATGAGTGCAAACGATACGGCGTGGGAGGAGACATGAGCTGATCGCAGCCAAATCAGTCCTTCCCGCCCTCATGGATGGTGTCATTGACGAAAAGGCCGCCTTGGCAGCGATTCCAGGCCCGTCACACGCCCTATCATTTGCAGGAATCATGACTATGTATATCTGCCATAAGACCTTGATGAAACTCTCCTTTAATAAATTATGGTTCATAACACATTCCTTCTTGATCAGTGTGTACATGCACTTTATGTCCCTAGTTGTGTGCATTTGGTCCACATGCTTTATCGCCATACCTCCTTATTAGCACCTTCAGCGCGTTGTAGGGATCAGTCGACATTAGGCTAGGCCCTTTACTTTCTGGGCAATCCGTGTAGCAAATAAACCCTTGAATAGCGGTCTCAATCGAATTGAGCGTGGATTGCTAGGTGTAGGGGCGAGACGCTATTCCCAGTGTAGCTATTATAACCACAAAATAATCCATTTTCCACAAGGAATTTACGTTCGGTATGTTGATGAATAGAGAAGTGCTGCATCCTCATGGAGACATATTCCAGGTATCTGTCCACTCAAGAAAATGGGATCACATGCCGATTCACCTTCAGAATGGATCCGTGAGAACTTTCAGAACCATCTCTTTACCTTCTTGCTATCTTAATCAAGTCCTTTAAGGTTTTCTTTCAACGTTTGGGCGCCACTGAATAGAATGACTCTCTGGAATATAACGTTAAAACCTTTTGTAGAAGTTCACAGCTATCGCCAATACTACTGCAGCAATAGTGCTGGTCAATAAATTCTGCAATTATTATACTGTTTGTTATTGATACTCAAATACAGAATGCGCGAAGGTCCAGGAAGAAATTTGTTTGCGAAAGAAGAATTCAAAGAAAAATATGACGATCGCAGCGACCTCGGCGATCGCCGCGATCGTCGGTACGTGGCAGAGCGCGCCCCAACGCTATTATGGACCGCTCGCTTGATAAATAAGGGAATCCAACTTGTGAGACCTTCTTTTCTCTTAATAATGGCTACTAACTGATAACTTACGACTTTCTATACATAAGCGGATCTGGAATATGAGGTAAGGAGGTTTCACTTCTTTTTAGGTCGGGATAAGGCCAACTCCATTTCCTGGGTGAGCTTCTTTTTGTTTCTTTTGTTTTTATTGTTTCAATTTATGCAAGCGCCTCAAAAGTTCCTATCGTCTGAACTGTTCCAACTTCCAAAACATTTATAGTTTACAAGTCGAGTTCAAACAACGAAGAAAAAAAAGAAACAGAAAGAAACTCACCTAGGAACCAAAACACTAATCATTTTACGCAACATCAACAGGTGAAAACTTTATAACCTCATGTATAAGCTCGACGAATGAAAAAAGAAACAATAAAAACCTACCCTAAATGAAGCTCTCACGCTTTTTGCTCATTTCTATCCTGAATCAAGAAAGAAAATAGAAAACAAAAGCCATTAAGTTGGGTTCACCTTTCTTTGTGACAAACCAAGCCACCTTTGGTTGTCATTTCTAAGAAAATTGCAGTTCGAAGGAAAAAAAGCATGAAATTGAGTCGCTTCTCCCTAAAAGCCTTCGGAGCGGTCCAAGTAATAGCGTTGGGGCGCGCTCTGCCATGTACCGACGATCGCGGCGACGAGGTCGCCGCTGCTGTCGCGAAGTATGAACGCTGCCTTACAACTTTCTGGCTTAGTTTTGTGGAGGGTTCGTTGCGATTCCCACTACTTCCTCCTTCGAGAAGCACAGAGGCTCAAAGGTGATCGTGGGTCAAGCCTTTGAGGTATACTTCTCCTTCTGTACACAAGATAGAGCGTCCTTGTGCGAAACCCATCGGGGTCGTACTTGGTCGATGGGAGAGAGAGTCGTATGTGAGCTAACAAAGTTTTTTTGATAGTTAGCTTTTCTTGTTCTAGGGACAGCTTTTCTTGTTCTAGGGACGTCATAAAGGGGGAGCTCATATTCGCTCGTTGTTGGGGAATTGTCGTATCCCCCCTTTGACCTTCTCAGAGAGGTTGTTCACTTTTCCGCTGTTGTCACTCACTGTTCACTGTTTCAGGTTACTATATACACCTCCTTCGACAACGAAATTTCTCGGCTTAAAGTTAGAGTTAAGTGTAGTAGTGCCCTGCTGCCACGCGGTGTTCTGTGTTGATTGCTGACCTGAGTATGACGACGTGTATCAAGAATAAGTTTATCGCCGGACGCCTTGGATCCTTGTATCTCTGCACTTGACGGGAGTCCTACTATTGGACGACGAGGCCTGGCTCTGTTGTGAAGCTTGTATTCCACGACGGGTAGCATAGCTTCTTTATTGTCGTAACATAGGTAATACTCCGACTAAAACCTCACTCTGTCATGAGTGGGGCGTATATATCACACTATAGTGATATGAGCTATAGGCGAAAAGAGGCTCCTCGATTGCGACGTGAACCATACCGGCTTGCCACCACTTCTTATACCATATTCTATCTTATCACCTCAAAGATACTTATCAATCATTGTACACAGCGCGTTAGTGAAGCAGATCATTTTCCTATAATAAACAAGTTAACCCTTGAAATGAAAGCGTAAAGTAATGAACTAATTGTAGCTATTGCTACAGTAGGAAAATTTCAGGAACACCCGGAAATAGTGGAAGAATTAATCGTGGAGGAGAGTAGTATTCTCCTCACGGTTTTTCCCGTTTCACATGTGCTAGTAAACCCTCCCCTACCCCTGCCAGAGCCAGCGATATGGTTAGAGGATTCCTTTGGGGGGGGTAGTATTGGGCCGCCAAAGGCGCGGAACGGTTCGTCATTTAGGCGACCTGGGAAAATTTATTTTATAGTTAGATTTTTTCGCTTTCATGGACGTTGTAAAGAGGAGCGTTATTTTGGCGGTTGTCTGAGAGGCAGAGCGGTGCTAGGAAGGCAGGAGGTCGTATTTCTGGCTAGGCAGTTACGTTTAGGTTACTCCTCGGGTTTATGAAATTTTATGTGTTAATACGCGTATTGATCCGGCATGAATGGTTCACGTCGCATGCTATAATACTCCTTTGTTCACAACTTTGGGCGACTGATGAACCACAATCCGTACGAGATGGGGGGTCGTCCACGCCATTGAACCAAAAAAGAGGGGCGGAAACCCGCCCTGACCAATTACCTCGTTATTCGCCCGACACAGTAGGACGAATACAATAATACAACCGCTAACTCCGTAAACTGAACCTCACTCTGTCATGAGTGGGGCGTATATATCACACTATAGTGATATGAGCTTATAGGCGAAAACAGGCTCCTCGATTGCGACGACTTCTGAACCATACCGGCTTGCCACCTGTTCTTATACCATATTCTATCTTATCACCTCAAAGATACTTATCAATCATTGTACACAGCGCGTTAGTGAAGCAGATCATTTTTCCTATAATAAACAAGTTAACCCTTGAAATGAAAGCGTAAAGTAATGAACTAATTGTAGCTATTGCTACAGTAGGAAAATTTCAGGAACACCCGTGAAAAGTGGAAGAATTAATCGTGGAGGAGAGTAGTATTCTCCCCACGGTTTTTCCCTTTTCACATGTGCTAGTAAACCCTCCGCTAACCCCCGCTCGGCAGCTAGATGAGGAAGGAACCAGAGGTGTCATACCAATACCCTAAAGGGAGAAGAGTGGTTGTACGGATCTGGTCAAGATCCCCAACCGCCAGCGATGCGCCCAGCCACCAAGACGTCTCAAGTGAAGTAGTAACAGTAAACGACAATATAACAATCAGTCTCTAAATGTACAACTGAATTAGGCGAAAGAATGAGACGGACGGGCTCAGGGGATCAAATAGTTCAGGATCACCTGTATATTTGGCATGTAGCCAGCTCCCTGGGTAATTTAGTTTTGCTTGTTGGCGACTTTCGTTTTTTCGAATTGGCACTTCTTACGCCTTTCAACTGATATTAGGTTGTCCGGAAAGTTCTCAGCGTTTTGAGTGTTTCACTTTAAACGATCATAACTTTTTTAATACTCATCGGATTTAATCGAAATAAGCACCGTTCGAATCAGCACACTTTTGCCAATGTGACAGTCGATAAATCCCATCAAAGAAAAAACTGGGTGGTCGAGAATCCACGAATCCACGAAGGCTTTTTTGCCTGGTCCTGATTGATGAAGTATTTTCCAGCAAGGAAGTTCTGAAAATGTTTGAAAAGGTGATAGTCGGTTGGTGAAATATGGCGGGTGAGGTAGAACTTCAACCCCAATTCGTTCAATTTATGGATAGTGATTTGTGAAACGTGTGGGCGGGCGTTGTCATGCAAAAGAATCGGACCCTTTCTGTTGATGCTGGCTGCAGCTGACGCAATTTTCGGTACATTTCGTCGATTTCTTCACAGTAGGACTCTGCTGTGATGGTTTGGCCTGGTGACAAAAAGTTATAGTGGATCCCGATGACCACCAAACTGACCGGAATCTTTTTTTCGTGAGGGTTCGGCTTTGGAAATTGCCTCGGTGGTTCGTCGGCATCCAACCACTGTCCGGAACGTCTCCTGTTATCATACATGATCCACTTTTCATCACAGGTGACAATTCGGTCCAAAAACGGGTCGTTTCTGTTGCGCAAAAGCAGTGAAGAAGAAACCTCGAGACGTGCCAATTTCTGCCGGTCACTCAAATTGTGGGGCACCCACTTGTCGAGTTTTTTCACCTTCCCAATGCGTTTCAGACCATCCGCAACAGTGCCAACGCCTAGCTTTTCTGCAATCTCTCGAACTGTTTGGGATGGGTCAGCCTCCACAAACGCCTTCAAATCCTCGTATTGCTTTAGGTCGACCGCTACGAGGTTCATCTTCAAGGCTGAAATCTCCAGAACGAAATTTGTCGAACCATTGTCGCACGGTGCTTTCTCCAACACTATTGGGCCCCCACACCTGGTTAATTTGTCGAGCTGTCTCGACTGCGGATTGACCCAATTTGTAGTTGAAGAAAAATATCGTCCGAAGTTGCTCTTTTGACATGCTTCAAAAAGTCTTGGGAAAAGGGGGTTTATCAAGCATGGTGAAACGGCAATTATACCATCAGATAGCGCAAAAAATTCTCTTCAGGATGTACTACTGAGACGCAAGGGAGAATGAGTTTTTAATCAGCAATGAATGTACAAAAAATAGTAACACAAAACGCTGAGAACTTTCCGGACAACCTACTAATAGGCGTGGCGCATTAGCTATTGCGGCCCAGCTCATTAAAAAATTTCTTCTAGACGTCACTTACCTTCTTATGCACAATATCGAATGATTTGACGTTACACAAACCATGCGTCGTCCCATAATTCGGATGTCGCCTCCACTGCTTGCTGCTGGCTCGGTCAAGCGATATTCGATTTGTCTCTCTTGTCCACTTTTCCTTGGAATAGCGCGATAAAGACGACTGCACACTCTTCCCGTGGATCCTTATCCTTGCAATTAAGCGAGGTGAATGGGTCTCTGAAAGCGCCTGCGCTATCCCCACTGTCCAGTTCTTGCGTCGATACCGAGACCCCGCGGCGAAACAAACGGTAGGGAACAATCAGAAGTGAGTGCGGTTGTCTTTGGTTGGGAGTATGGCTGGAGGTGCGGCAGCGCGAGCAGAGTGGGGAAACGACACCCCTGGTCATCCCCCCCCCTCTTCTCCTCCACCTCCTTTCCTGTGCCTTTTCTTTAGGAGAACTTCCTACTGGCACGTAACTA